ATTTGGGAAATCAATACCCAATTTGTCCTTCGTGGAGCGAGTATTGGTCGCAACAAGGGGATGGTGCAGGGTCGAGTGGAGCTAGAAACGATGGAGATGACGATTATTGATTTTTATCCTTTTTATTATTGTTTCTAGTTATTTTTGTTTTCTTCGTTTATTTTGGTGTGTTTTTTATTTGGCATGATTTAAGGACATGTAACGAATGTTTGATGATTGTTTTTTACTTTCCACCAAATGTTTGTTTTGTTGCAAATTTATTAGAGTATCGAGAGAGAAAAAATGAGAGAAAAGAGAAAGAGAGAGAAGCTGTGTGTTTTAGAGTTACGAGTCAAAGCCCGTAATTTTTGATAAGTGTGGGGTGAATTTCGTGTGCGAAAAGAGATTAGAGAAAGAGAGGGTCCCAAAAAATAAGAGTTTTATAAGGGTCTTAATCCATTAAGAGATCAATTGCACATTATTTGGAAAGTGGAATTTTTGCAAAGATGCATTCTGTTACACCCAGGTTTCACGACGTGGCCACTATTATCACGTCGTGAGGTCGTTTCCATTACGTTTTCCAGAATAAATCTGAACTATTATCAGGACGTGAGCTTCTCTTTTCACGTCGTGAGTCACTAAAATGGCATTTTTACTCTACTATTTCAACCTTACAATGTGGCGTATGCTTTCCCAGATTGAGATGATTAGCTTTGAAGATCTTATGCACCACACTTTTTGAAGATGCAAGTTTCTGATTCACATATTTCCGGCACACTCACGCGTATCAATGAAATCGAAGTTCCAGTCACATACTCAAGGTGTTCAAGTTTTCCACATGCGTTCAGAAATCGATCTCGCCACTACTACACCGGGGGAGTCTGTTCCTTTTTCTCCCTTTCTTTAATTTTAAATTATTTTATGCATACAATGAGGACATTGTATGAAATAAGTGTGGGGTAGGGGGTCGAAAAAGGAAATTGCTAGAAAATTTAAAAAAATAAAAAAATAAAAATAGATTTCAAATAATAATCTTAAAATTAAATCTAGTAATAATTAAAAACTTAAGTTGCTAGTGTTGCATGAGATGATCCAATGTAAGCTCAAATGTTTAATTGAGCCAACATATGTTATAGTATATTTGTGGCTTCCCAAGTTTCAGTGAAAATCCATGAGATATGAAAGATCATTTGGTAGTTTATATGGCATAATAAGTTTTGAAGTGTGTACCTGAAATCTATCCATGAGAGCTTATGTAGTCATTGCACTTAGACTAATACCTCTAACCAATAAATGTTGAAGTTAAGCTCCATTGCTTAAGCATCTTGGAATTAAGCGAAAAAGTGAGATAATTTTTTTAAAAAAAAAAAGAGAGAAAATTACAAAAAAGTTGTAAGAATTTTGGAGCTATCAAAGTATGAAGATCAAAAGATCAAAATTCTGAAGAATCAAAAGTTGAAGATATCAAAAATCAAACAAAAAAGGTGGTAAATTCAAAGAAATCAAAGAGCAAATATCAAAGAAAAGAAGAATTCCAAAGAGCTCTCTTATGGTACCAAAGTTGTAATTCTTTCTAGATTGTGTATGATTGGGTAGCTTAACCAAAAATACCTTGAGGTTAAGAAAGATTTCTGAGGATGGATTCGGAGGGTTGCAAAAATGAGTGTCGTATAAACTAATGGGTGAAGGTTCATAAGGATTGTGAGTATTTAGGATAGGGAAGTTTTTAGGAATCTTAGACACAAATATACGCATTGAGGTCTTGGTATAATGGTTGAGTTCAAAATGGATTGTCTTATATGATATTGGTGATGAAAGTTTGACTTAAAAATTAGTTTTGCTTGGGGGCAAGCAAAAGATACGTGTGCGGTATTTTGATATTGCCATATTTATACACATTTTTGGCAATATTTTAATACATTTTAAGTAATATTTTGGTTAATTGCACAGAAATATGATACTTATTGAATTAATTTACATTTTGCAGCCAATAAAGACACTCTTGAGGAATTAGGACCAGAAATGACAAGCAATGGAACTTTGGAGGATTGAAGCTTAAAATTCCAACGAAAAACCAATCTCACGACGTGACAACTTAAGGTCACGACGTGATGTGTGAAATTCTAGAAGATTAGCATGCGGAAGGCAGAATCCTTGTACAATACGGATATCCACCAAGATCACGACGTGAGACTCCTATTCTCACGACGTGAACGACGAATTTCCAAAACTATATAAAGCCTTTTGCATTATCGATTGAGAGAGCTTTTGGAGGAGAGATATTCTGAGATGTACGAATTTGAAGAGCAGAAACCTGCGAAAAACATATCTTGGAAGGAGAAATTGTTGAAAGAAGGAAAATTTGAAGATCAACTCATCACATTTGGTTTGCTTATTCGAATCATGTCGATTATTACTGAATTTGTGTGTTTAATTTCAATCATAAGTAGCTAAATTCGTTTGTTTTCGTTTAGCTAGATGAAACCTTGAATCTATGGCCTAGTTTATTAATTTATGGATTTTATAAGTTCGTTTTGTGCATGTGTTTGATTATCATGACCTAGCATGTTAAAGTTTGTGACTTTGTTGCTTAAATTCAAGGTTAGTGTAGCTTAGTGACCATTAAATTACATGTACTTGTTTACCTAGTAGTTTAGTGACTATTAAATTGCTAAAGCTAGGTGTGACCACATCTAGATCAAGTAATAAAGTAACAAATGTAGCTATGCTGGAGAACATAATTGTGACCATAATTGTGTTTGCTTAGATAAATCTTACATAGCCCATCTATAATTAATAACTAATTATGTGTTTGCTTGTGTATGACTATACATGGTAGTACATGAATTGGTGAAAATATTTGTAAATTGGACTCAAATTGCTAATTACATAATAATTGGTAACCAACTTTTATAATCCATGAATAGTAACTAACCATAGGGAAAAGGTGGATTCGAAACTAAATGAAAGTGTTCTTAATATATTGATTAAAACCGTTTAGTTAAGTGCTTAAGTTTTTCTAAACTTGAAAAATCAGATAAAAAAACCCTTTTAACTATTGTTTGCTTTTAGATTAATCTTTTAGTAGTTATTTTAATATACTAGATCCGTTCCCTGAGTTCGATACCCAACTTACTTTACTATATTATATACTGACTAGGTACATTGTCTATAGGTGCATTAGTAGACAACTAGTTGGTTAAAACTAGTAGGTATAATATTACGCATCACTGATTAACTGAAACAAAAAACTAGTGTCGCCACCAAACCATTATAAGAAAATTCCATTATTTATTTGAAGCCTCGCTAAAGCTTTCAATATCTTACTTTCACTCCCCCATACATATCTTATGTCCTAAAAAGATTCCTTCACATGTATGTATCCAAGATATTCACATGATTGCTTCAATGAGTCTCACGTATAGCCCCCACGATGGGAGTCTATTGGTTGAGAAATAGAATTCCACATAGGATGTCCATAGTTCAAACGCTAGCACACTAAAAATATTACTAGTGTTTCGTGATTGACATCCCATGTGGGCCTTAGGACGGGTTGAAGTGGGTCATTCAGATGGTGTAGTTTACCATATTTTTAGACGAGTCTCACATTACACTCACGACACACTTAACTATGAATTCATTATCTATCGATCTCAATCTTCTTGTGTCACCGCCTACACCGAGGTTGATTGATTCGACTGTCCTGATACACGACGTTGTACACCCGACTATTGGGTGTTTCTCGTAGACAATCTCGTCTCATAGCCTTTTAAGCGACATGATACAATTTCAAGATCCAATGTTGAAGCAAAATAATAAAGGTTAGCAAATGTAGTCTACGAAACTTGTTGGATTTTAAATCTTCTATTTAAACTAGTTATTTTCGTTTCAAAAGGCTTATTTGTCTTTTGTGACAATGGTTTTTAATGGCTGGATTTTCAAATATTAAACTAAAAAACCATTAGCAAGAAGCTAGTAAAATAAACAATTACATTGGGAAAAACAAAATCAAAATTTGAATCTATGAATCCTAAGTATTGATTTTGTGACAATGTGAATGTCATATATCTATTTGGCAATCTAGTGCAACACCAAAACAATAAGCATATCAAAATTGATTAACATTTTGTTCCAGAACAGGTCAGGTCACCACCGATGGTAGAGTCGAATAATGCATGTACCCTGGTGTTGTAAAGTTGCAAATATTTTCACCTAAGGGCTTTCTAAAATTTTATTTGAATACTTTAATTCTCAACACTCTATCAAAGTAGTTAGGGGGGGTGGAAAAAAATATTTTATAAATTTCGTTATATGAACATTAAATGTTATACATATCACCATTTAATTGGGTAAGAAGATTTATAGGAAAAAAAAGTAAAAGGATATTTAATTTCTCTTATATTATATATGAATATTAGGATTAGATATTATTATCATAGAAATATTATACTACTATAATTATCTTGCTATATTAGGAATATGAGGATTTGAGAAGGAATAGGAAACTAATAATCGTCGTATTTATACATCCGGGATGGGGATTAGACATTAAATATTAATATTAGAAGTTATAGTCAGAAATATTATTATATTATGAATATTAGGATTAGATATTATTATCATCAGAAATATTATATTACTATATTTATCTTGCTATATTAGGAATATGAGGATTTGAGATGGGAGTAGGAAACCAATAATCATCGTATTTATACATCCGTGATGTAACGAGTAAAGCAAAGAGAATCTAAACAAATTACATGTTTTCCAATGTAAAACGATTTTAATTATACTTGATTGATGGTTTAATTTTGGATTGGATATATAGAGATCAATTTGGTTCTCGTTTCTATATGTTATATTTATCAAATATACCATCAAATTCGTCATATATATAATTTTTTTTTATAAGACTATTCCACATTTTTCCATAAATTACATATTTGCTAAAAAAATAGAAAAAAGAAATATACTTCAGTGTCATAGATGTCGTTCTCAAATTAGTCAAATATAGTAAAAAATCAACAGTCCCATATGAGCGTCGAGAAACTCGGATTTTTTGCCACCTGGTCGGAGAAATTAGCAGCAAAACAGTCGGTGCTAGCCACTTCCCACGACGGATTCATCCATCCATCCACCGAGTCCACCACCATCAATTTAGTCAACGATCCCGGGGAATCCAAACACCCCTCTAAACTCGGCAACTCAATGAATTCATCCAATTCATCATCCGGGCTGCCGGAAGCATGTTCATCGGCAGGTAATATATAGCGATCGGACAACGGCGGTTGCACGGTGGAGGAGTACGACACCGAACACAATTCTTGCATGGTGGCTGCCTTGGCGGCGGCGGCTTGGACGTCACGTGGCGAGACAGACGCCGGACGTGGCAACAAGTCTTTGAGTTGAGGAAAGTTGAGAATGGCGGAGTTCCCTTTGATGGACAAGGCGGCGACGTCGTGAGCTCTTGCGGCCATCTCCGGCGTTGAAAAAGTGCCAAGCCAGATACGGGATTTCTTACGTGGTTGTCGTATTTCCGACACCCATTTGCCCCAACTTCGCATTCGAACTCCACGGTACGCCGGAGAACCTCGACTCTCCTTCCCTGGAATCGGTTTCAGGCAAGTGTTGGTGGTGGCAACATCAGAAGTTTGATTGAGTTCCGCCATTGGTAACCGGAGAGAGGGTTGAAAGGAGGAATTATATAAGATGCAAATGAGTTGCAGAAGTGGCTGTTGGAGTGCATATTGACTATTTATAGTGAACTTTAACCTACCAAGTCTGTGTACACATACTTTGTTTCTTATTTATATTATATAAAAATAAAAATGTATAAATGTATATTTAAAATATAATTATACAGAATAATATATTTATAGAATAGACATATGCAGAGGTCTTATGTTTGGTTTGTTTTAATTTGAAATATAGAAATCGGAAATAGTATCATTTTCAGTTTTTCACTTTTTTGATGAATAAAAAAAGTGGGCTTTTTGTTCCGATATTTTAAGCTCGATTGTATCCAAAAGAGATTTTTTAAAGAAAATCTTGAACCTAACCAAACTGTAGAAGCTCTATTCTAGATTCGAGTCTAGTTGGTTCGGTTCTACTTCTACAATTTGAAAACCCGAATTTGATATATCCTTGGTCAAAATGAATCATGATCGACATTGAAAAAATTAAAATTTTGTGATGTTCATCTACACAAGCTTTTTGCATGAAACCACCAAAGTCAATAGATCTTATTATTCATACCATTCTTTAAAATTTTTATGAATATTTTTATAGACTTTTGTCTAATCATTCATACGTATCATCATTTACAATACATAAATAAAATATTATATTTGTTTAGTTAGGAGTATAAAAACGGACCATACCAAGTATATATAAAATCAACCAAGTCAATTCTATAGAAAGATAGACGTCCTGTCACCACTCTCTTTTATCTTACATCTTATCTTCCCTAATAAAAGAAAACATTTGTTATCACCTAATTCAATATGTCACATGACATTTTTTTTACTTTTTCAATTTCTTTTAATTCCACTTGGCAACTAGTGATTTTTTTGGCTTTTTGGCAAATCTAAAAATATGATAAAATTTATTGCATTTTAAAGCAATTTAAAGAAAGTTGACTCACTCCTTAAAGTCTCACGTAATCAATCAATGAATGTATTAAATTAAAATAAATCTTCTTAATTTTCAAACACAATTTTCGACAATCCATTTCAATTTCACGATTATTTGCAGAGACGTTCGAAACATCGGTTCATTCACAACTCAATTTTGATATCTTTTACATATTCATTTTTGTAAATTTTGTATAACTACAATCTTATTCATCTGTCACCTTTTCTTGAGAGATTGTGTTTATAACATCAAGTTCATCATCACAGATTGATCCGCCAACATCTACTACATCAGGTCAGCAATCCTTTTTGTTTTAATGATTAGTTATTTTCTAAATCATTTTGATTCTTTTTTTATGTGAACATTTTATGTATTCCTCTTATCTTTTCCATGCTTTGGTCGAATTTTCCTCTTAGTCTAATGTTCCAAACATTGCTCATGTTGTAATGCATATGTGTTGTTCGATTAAATGTCTCAGAGAAGTTCATCACCAATCGACTGTATGTGTGTATGTGTGTTTTATTCGAATAATTAAAGGCAATGTGGTAATTTCCTTAAGCACTTGTAGTGTCTGGACTAATGACATCACAGAAAATGGCATAAACTATTGTATAAAAGTATTCGACAATATATTTTTCATGTGGTTATTTATTTTCTTCAAGTAATATGGCCCTCCTACTATTTTGTGTGTTTGTGTGTTTGAAGTCAATTATTTTTTCATTGACTGTTATTTAAGGATTAAGCTATAATAATTAATTTGGTATGGTTTTTAGTGGTCCACTAACTAAATGCTATAAGAATTAACCTTTGTGCACAAGAAATTCAAACAAAAGAGGGACAAAAATGAATCTGAAATAACAAGGGAAATGTTACTTTTAATGTAATCAAAAGGACTTGAGTTCACAAAGGTAACTAACAGGAAAAAACAATTAAATAAAAATACTACCCAAAATGCCCCTGAGACTATTTTTGTTCTAGATTTTAAATTACTCTTACAATAAAGTCAACTACCTAAATAATTACTCGCCCAAATTACCCTCCCTTGATTGGTCATAAAATTATGTTTCTTTGTAGACAACTTCTTTTGTATAATGCTTTCATGTTTATTTTTGTGTGTTCCATTTATTGCTTGCGTTTATAATTTAATGCTAAAAGATCATCATGCTAATATGTATGTTAAGAACACTGATGCTAGAGAGGAGGAAAGAAAAATTAAGCTTCCATTTTTTTTTTTGATGAATAAAACTGAAAACACGAAGAATAAGTTTCCAATATGAGATGAAAACACCAAATTTTTTCATTCTTCTTTAAAAAGAAAACCAAGGAAACTCATATTTTTTGTGAATTTTATAAAGAATAATTTTCCAACAGCTTTTTGGAGCTACTTGTAATCAGTCTATGAATTTGTCTACTGTTCAATGTCAAGTGTTGATAGATGCGTTTTTCATGGTCTGAGACAAGGGTAGCAGGGTATGTATAATCTACATCTTTTAATTAAATTGAATCTGCTTCAATGTCTCGGTTAAGTTAAATATTATATGCATTTGAATTTATTTTCTCATGCGATGTACTATGATTTATTTGTTAATGTTAGAATTTATCTTTATTTATTGATGTTCGTTACTCTATTCCTGCTCAGATTAATGGAAAACACCAAGATTATCATGATTAGTGATTTGGCTCTATCACAAGATGACTACATCATTAAGGTCCGAATCATGCGTCTGTGGAAACAAACCTCCTGGAATCAACAGGTCTGTATGATTGGCATGATATTAATGGAAGAAAGGGTATTTCATATTTTTTTTGTTTTTCTTATTATATTAAATTATATATGTTATGTTAAAATTATTTATATGTGTAGTATAACTTATTAATTAATTTTTTTTATTTTAAGGGCACCAAAATTGAATGTAATGTGGATAAACCATTTGTTGATCACTATAAGGAAAATGTTTGGTAGAATATGATGATTTCTACATTCATAAACCCACATTAGGGTTAAATAATGGCGCTATAAAGTTTGTTGATGGTTATTAAATGCAATGATTTTTGTGGACCACAAAATTCTTTTGCTTTTATTGACTTCCAATAACTTCAAGCTAATGTAATCCAACCGAACATGTCATTTGGTTAGTGTATTCCCTTCTACCCATTCGTAATGGATTAAATTATCTAAATTTAATTCTTTCCACCATAACAAATACATACTTACACTTTTCCTTGTCTATAATATAGATATTATATGAAACGTTTTCCAGTGTTTTCCATTGGAACCTACAAAAGACAAACATAAACAAAAAATGACACTCAAAATGGAGGATTTATAGTGAGTTTCATTTTTTATACCTATATTTATTATACTTATGATACTTTGTTTTTTAATTTTCTTTCTTTTAAAGAGGACGTGAAGTTTTTGTTACTCTATGGGGACGGTATGCTGATGAAATTATTGCATATGTTTCTAAGCATCCTGGTCATTTTGTATTGCTTATTCAACTTGCTAAGTTGAAGCTTGTCCGTAGTACGTATTTACTAAGTTATTAATTTGTAATATGTATATTCTTAATGAATCTATGATATGAAATTATTAATAGTTATAAAAAAAATAAAATAAACATTTCAGATCGTCCATATGTCAATAACACTTACTTGGCTACAAAACTTTTAATTGAAGGAGACATTGAGGAGATAACCTCTTTCAAAAAAAGATATTATGAAATTTCCACATGATTTCTCATTTCATTTTAATGTTTTATTAATTCATATTTATAATATCTAACATTTATTAATTGGTACAATAAATAGTTTACAAGCAAGAAAAAATTCTTCAGCTTCTTCGGTCTCACGTACCTGGGATCATCCATCATGTATTCACTACATGATGACTTTCTTCAAAAGAACTCTTTTTACCAAATATCCGTTATTCACGAATTGGATGAGGTACATAAATTATCCCCCTGTTAATTTGATTAATCTAATACTTCAATCTTTACCACCCCTAAATACACCTACTATCATAGGGAAGTTGTGCGGTAATTCTTGGTACAATAAAGATGTTTGAAGATAATCATAACTGGTGCTATAATGCTTGCACAAAATGCAAGTCAAAGGTTCAAATACTTAAGGTTCCAAATGAGATTGAATTTGAAGAGAAAGAGATTTTGGTGTGTCAAAAGGACAATTGCAAGGGCAAAGAAGTTATTGTTGAACCAAGGTGTGTAACAAATAATACCTTTTTACATTAATCTTCAATAATTTTATATTTCTTTTTACTTTTTAATATTTTATATGTTTTTTTTTAAGTTTTATGATCAAAGTTCAAGTTCAAGGTTTAGTTGGAGTTGCCAGTCTTACAATGTTTGATCGAGCAGTTAGAAATCTTCTGAAATATTTGCTGCTGATTTATTATCAATATATGAAAGGGTATATGTTTTTTATAATCAATATCATATTGCATTATAAAAATTAATTTTTATGCATTTATTTAATTGTTATTATTTATTAATATTTTTCTTAATTCGGCAATCCAACTGAGTTTCCTATTGAGTTGAACGTCATGCTCGATAAAAAATTGGCTTTCAAACGACATCCGTTCTCGACTATCTTTATTTTTATAGGCTTATTTATATATTACTGAGTTTCCTATTGCTACTGATTTATATTTTTATAGGCTTAGACTGTTAAATTCCGTGTAAAAATCATAACTCTTCCATACAACATCCGTTCTCAACTGTCTTTATATTGACGAAATTGTATCTACGAGATTTCCAACTCCCATTTAGATTGTTTCGGCTAACAATCAACCGATTTCTATTTTGGTTTCTGTGTCGACCACCACTCAGTTGAAACTTCGAAAAATCGTAACTTCCTCATATGCACGCACTCGGCTTACGATTACTATGACTTTAGTTTAGATTTCTTAGGTTAGTAACCAATCTATCTAAAATTCACTTTTTACGATACGCATAGCCGCATCGGGTTAATCGCGAAACTTCAAAGAAGCATAACTTCTTCAGATGAAGTCGAAATTCAG